TTTATTGGAGATAGGAGTCTCACGGTCTCTCCTGCCCGGGCTGGCTTTGAACTGCGATCCTCAGATCTTAGCCTCCTGAGTAGCTAGGATTACAGGCGTGAGCCACTAGCGCCCGGCTTCTTCCTAGCTTTTGTGAAGTATTTGGCATATAAAAATGTAACTGACCAGGTATTGGTGGCTCATAACTCAAATCCTAGCTACTTGGGAGGCAGAGATTGGAAGGACTGGATGGAGTTCAAGGCCAGTCTAGGTAAAAAGTTTTCAAGACCTACATTTCAACCAATAAATGCTGGACAGGGGTGTGTGCCTGTCACTCCAGCCATAGTAAGAGCAATAAATAGAATTATCACAGCCAAGATCAGCCTAGAGGGAAGAAAAGAAAGATCCTATTCCAAAAATAGCCAGAGCAACTGGGTGCCAGTGGCTCATGCCTGTAAGCCTAGCTATTCAGGAGACCATGATCTGAGGACCACAGTTCAAAGCCAGCCTGGGAAGGAAAGTCCATGAGACTCTTAGCTCCAATTAACCACCAAAAAGCTGAAAGTGGTAGAACTGTGGCTCAAGCGGTAGAACACTGACAAAAAATGGTCAGGGACAGCATCCATACTCTGAATTCATGCCCTAGGATCAGCACAAAAACAAATAAATAAATACAAAAAAAGCCTCACAAAAACTATTAGAGCAGAAAGTACTGGAGGTGTAACTCAAGTGGTAAAGCAAGTTCTTGCTTAGCAAGCATGAAGCCTTGAGTTTAAACCTCAGTACCATTTCTTTTTCTTTTTCTTTTTTTGTCGGTTGTGGGGTTTGAACTCTGGGCCTGGGCGCTGTCCCTGAGCAATTTAGCTCAAAGCTAGAGCTCTATCACTTGAGCCACAGCACCACTTCTAGTTTTCTGAGTGGTTTATTGAAGAATCTCATGGCCTTTCCTTCCTGAGCTGGCTTTGAACTTCGATCCTCAGATCTCAGCCTCCTGAGTGGCTAGGATTATAGGCATGAGCCACCGGTGCCCAGCAGTACCATTTTTTTATTAAAGTGCAGAATTAGTGTACATAATTTAGTGAGGATAACTGTGTCAACATGCATGGAACCACCAACATACCCACCCAATCAGCACATCTATCACTTCTAAGAGTTCCAACTTTCCCAATGGAAACTTTCTGTTGCTGCTATAACAAAGTACCCAAGACTGGATAATTTATAAAGAATACAAATTTCCTCCCTGTAATTATAAAGGCTGAGAAGCCCAGGATCAAAGCTCTGGCACTGGTGGCAGGTGAGGCTGACTCTGCCGCAAGATAAAGCTTCCTAGCTGTGTCCTCCCACCGCAGAAGGTAGAGGGCAAAAAAGCCTTCAATACTGAGCCCATCCATAAGGTCACCAGCCCACTTAGAGGACACAATGCCCATGGCTTACTCACCTGTGTTCATCAGAGATAGTAAGTAGTTCCTTTTCTCTATATGACTTCCGTAGTAGAGATGCTGACCTCCTAGAATGAGTGCAGAAGAGTTACATCCTCCTTGTGTTTGAAACAGATTGGAAAGAGTTGGCACTGGTTCTTCTTTAAATGTTTAGTAGAATTTCAGATAGGGTCTCTCGTTTTTGCTCTGCTACTCTAAATTTTAATCTTACAGAGCTGAAATCACAGGCACAGATCACCACATCCAGCTTATTACTTGAAATGGGGTAGCAGAAGCCTTCTAATCTCTGCTTCTCAAGTAACTGGGGCTTTAGGTATAAGTCACTATACTTGACCCTGGGTTTTTATTTGATGCATGATTTTTTTATTAGTGTCTCAGTATTATTACTCATTCACAATTTGTTTGGATTTTCTGTTTCTTCAAGATTTAATTTTGGTAGATTTACCTGACCAGAAACTTGTTAATTTCTTCCAGGTTTTCTTAGCTGTATAGTATTTAAAATTTCTTTATCCTTACTGATTTTTTTGTCTGATTTTTCTATCAGTTTCTGAGAGATGATTAAATCTCACCCTCTCATTGTGAATTTGTTTCCGTTTATTCTATCAGATTGGCTCCATTTTTATGTCATGTTAATATAGGTTTTTATAAATTCAGAACTTGTATCTGTTCTCATGAACTTTGACTCTAGGAAAATGTTCCTCCTTTTTTCTACTGATGATTATTTTTGCCTGATATTAAATATTAAATACCCACCTACTATTGATAACTGGTTACAAGCTTTGGCCTTTTCTTTTGTGTCCTTAAGTATCTCTGGTCAACAACATATGAATATTCAGTTGTAGTTTTTAAGTCTATTCTAACAATATTACTATGTTAATTATAAAATTAGCAGGCTTTTCCTTCTATATAATTACTAATACCTTGATCAAATTATGACATTATTACTTTATTTACCACTTATTTTGTGTTTTGTATATCTTTTCTTGCTTTTTTTTTAAACCAGGGGAAGGGTTGTAGTAAGATTTTTTTCCCCAGTTAATTTGTAAATAAAATAGTACGAACATTATCTGATAACTTAGAAATATTTAAAACATGTGGTGGAATTCTGCCAATATTTTCCAAAACAGAGACATTATAAAGCTTAAGATGATTAAAAGATTCTTTGCTTGGAACAAGACAAACGAAATACTGATGAGGAAGTCATTTCTCAATCAAGGTAGTTGTTACTTTCTCGTGTGTGTGTGTGTGTGTGTGTGTGTGTGTGGTAGTTATTTTCTTGTGTGTGTGTGTGTGTGTGGTAGTTATTTTCTCGTGTGTGTGTGTGTGTGTGTGTGTATGTGTGGTATTTTCTCGTGTGTGTGTGTGTGTGTGTGTGTATGTGTGGTATTTTCTCGTGTGTGTGTGTGTGTGTGTGTGTGTGTGTGTGTGTGTGTGTGTGGTCTTTTTTGTTACCTACCTACCAGTTCTTTGGAACACAGTCAGGGTCTTCCCCAAGATCAAAATCATGTGGGCAGGTTCACATCTCTTGGCTCACATGCATACAAAGCCTCAATTATGTAAGTGGATGCAGTTAAAAAGACACACTTTCAGAGCATTCACGCAGAAAAGAGCTCAACTCCAGGATTACTCAAGTTATTTTCCCAGCTACACACCCATCTAAGGGAGAATGCAGGAAGCAGGGCCAGCACTGTGGCTAGCTAGCTACTCAAGGAAGCAGATCTGAGGATATCAATTCAAAAAGCTGAAGCAGCAAAGGCTGCAAGATCCTATCTTCAATTCACCAGCCAAAGGCTAGACTGGAGACCTGGCCTAAGTGGGAGTGTACCAGCAGTGAACAGAAGTGCAGAGCGTGCGCGCAAGAGACCCTTCCCACTTCTGAGTAAAACCACCTCAGAAATAAGTCAGTAAAAAATCCAGTCTTTGTCCTGCAGGGGTCCGTGTTGGGTCTCAGCCCAGCAAGGCTCTGGCATCCGCAGGTTTGGGGACCTGCGGGAAGGGGGAGCACCAGCAGCGCGGGAGCAAGGAGGGAGGCGGCCCTTCTGGGGACGCGCAGGCCGGGGGACCGTCGCCCGCCCCGGCCGGGCAGGATTCCCCGCGGGTTTCCCCCCACCGCCCGCTCCTCTCCAGAGGAGCCCCGTCCCAGCGCCCGTGCCGCCCGCGTACCTGGGGGAGGGAGGTCCACACCGCCCGGTCCCGCCGCGGTCCCTCCCGCGCCTCCAGCCGCCCGGCCTGGAAGTGAGGACTGCCCCGGGGAGCCGGGGCCTTCCGGGGCTCGCTGCCCGCAGGACACACCCCCTCCCCCGGCAGCTTCTCCTGAGGCCCGGGGGGCGGGGAGGGATGGCCGGGCTGGGAAAGGGGAACCGAGAGGTCTTTGTACCGGGAGGGACTTCCCGAAGCACCCCACCCGGGCAGCCCAAGCCAAGGCCCCACCCCTGGGAGGGCTCACCCCGCACTGCTGCCAGGCCGCGCCGGCGCCTCGGGCTGGGGAATCTTGCAGGGGACTCTCTTCCTCTTCCACGCTTTGTTGAAGTCTGGGGGCAGGAGGAAGCCCAGTCAGCCCCAGTTTGTTTTCTGTTGATTGTTTCCCAGCCCTGTGACAGTCGGTCCTCGCTGGTATACTTAGCTTGAGTCCCACCCGTTCTCTCCCCAAGAAGATTGGGGCCTTTCCCTTCTATGTGCCCTTTTGTTGTTGCTCATTTGCTAGGCAGGTGCTCTACCACTGGAGCCACACCTCCAGCCTCCGTGTGATTTTGCACCAAGTCACTCCCCTTGCTGGCCTCCAGGCCAGGAACAGTGGTAGATTGGCTTCATTTCCACACAGGTGAGTTTATCTGTCCCGGAGAAAAATTCATGAGGGAAAACGAAACCAACTGCCTTTAAAAAATTAAACTACCTTAATATTCCTAATATCCCTAATCATAATTACATTTGGTCTTCACAAAGGGAACTCTGAATTGAAGGAAGCATTCTCGCTCATCTGTTATACAGAAAATATCATGCAAATTTTAAGCGATAGGACTGAGAGTTAAACTAGAATTTTACCCCAAATCCTGGGTTCTTTCCTCTGCCCTGTTCAATTACACCACTGCTGGTGAGGTGCTAGTGAGGAATTTGAATCCACAGAAGACAGGAGACAAGACATACAAATTCATTCAGGAACCCATGCTTGGGAGCCACACAAAACATCAAAGTCAAAGGCAGGCCAGATAGTTGGGGCTCAAACCTCCTCTTGATGGAGTGAAGGAATTGGGAAGGGGTAGGCAATTTTAGAGGGACAGAAAAGCACCCAAAGATCAGACAATGGCCAGGGACAAAGTTCCCAAGCTCCAATGTTTCTAGGAGCATGGCTCATAAGGGCAAATGTTCCCTCAGGCAGAGTTGGGTTCAAGTCTTTACACTGACATAGTTGAGATCTATGAGCAGATAAGAAGGCTCAGTTTTCACCAGTTAAGGAGAACATTCTTATCTAGAATATAGAGGCCAGAGCCTGGCAAATGTTCGAGGTTAATTAACATTTTCAGAAAAGATTTAAGTATAGGGACTTAGTTTTACCTATGAAGTGGGTCCAAACTGTTCAAAGTGGTGAAGGGGCCTGGTGTCAGTTGCTCACACCTGTAATCCCAACTACTTAGTGTAAGATATATTAAATAGGTAGGTTTCATTAGATAGCCGATGAAGAGAACACCACGTGCTACTCAGGCAGGAGAAGTTTATTTACGGACCTGCTGCCCCCACCATGCACGGTGGAGAGGCATGGCTGAAAAAGGAAGGGGAGGATGACCCACCTCTGGGCCAGAACTTATCTAGGCCAGGGACAGGAAGAGGTGTGGCACACTGGATCCAGATGTGACCTGAGGGTCTGGGATGCTCCTAAGGTCAGATGGGAGGCATGTGACCAGAGGTGGCCCAGGATGTGACCTAGCTAGAGGGGAAGGTGGCTGCTTCCAGGTCTTCCAGTTACCTAGGTAACAGATACTGGGCAGAAACTTAGCCATGAGGGAGGGAGGTGTCCCCATTCAGACCCTACTACTTAGGTGACTGGGGTCTGAAGATCATGGTTCGAAGTCAGGCTGGGCAGAAAAGTCAATGAGACTCTTATCTCCAATTAATCACCAGAAAACTGGTGGTACTGTGGCTCAAAGTGGTAGAGTGCTACCCTTGAGCTAAAGAACTCAGGGGTGGTGCTCAGGCCCAGAGTTCAAGTCCCACTACAGGGAAAAAAGTGTTTAAGGAACGGGGTGAAAATAAGGGGGTTATGTCATACAATCCGCTATTCTGTTCATAGTCAATTCTCTCTTTCCTGTTTGAGTGACCCCTGCTTTGAACAGATTCATAATCTGCCAAGGAGAGCGGTAAGGTAAGCAGAGACCACAGTCTAGCCCTAAGCATGCAGTAGTATGGGCTGGTGGAAGTCCCAGCTCCTTTCATTGAACTCTTTACATTTTTTTTTTTTTCTTTTTGGTTGTAGGGCTTGAACTCTGGGCCTACACACTGTCCCTGAGCTCTTCAGCTCAAGGCGAGCACTCTACCACTTGAACCACTTCTGGTTTTCTGGGGTTAATTGGAGAGAAGAGTCTTATGGACTTTTCTGCCTGGGCTGGCTTTGACCTGCAATCCTCAGATCTCAGCTTCCTGTGTAGCTACGATTATAGGCGCGAGCCACCAGTGCCCAGCTTTTTTTTTTTTTTTTGAGCCTGTCCTGAGGCTTGAACTCAGGACGTAGGCACTGTCTGAGCTCTTTGCTCAAGGCTAGTGCTCTACCACTTTGAGCCACAGCTCCACTTAGTTTTCTGGTGGTTAATTGGAGATGAGTCTCACACTTTCCTGCCCAGGCTGGCAGCCTCTTAAGTAGCTACCAGTACCTGGCTAATATTTGGCTTTTGGAGCCTGATTTTTTGGTGTGGTCCTGGGGCTTGCTTGAACTGAGAGCCCGAGTGTAGTCACTGAGCTTTTTTTTTTTTTTTTTTTTCTCAAGGCTACTGTTCTACCATTGGAGCCATAACTCCACTTCCAGCTTTTGTTTTCAGCAGTTAACTGGAAATGAGTGTCATAGGGATTGAGGAGCTAGGATTACAGGCGTAAGCTACCTATGCCCACAGACTTACCATTCTTTAAAAGAGACAAATACTACTGAGAATGAGTTAGTCCTTAAGGGAGCTAGAAAGGACTAACCTTGCCAAAAACTCTTTCTGGCCACTGAACCATACAGAAAGGACCCACTTGGATTAATATGCCTTTTTGCTACAAAAGGCAAGTGTACTAAGGAATGTGAATATTCTTTGGTCTTTAATTAACCATACTGTCTTCTTCTTATGAAGTAGTTGAGCTCGTTTCTCTTGGGAAAGAAGCCTTGGTGTTGTAGACAGAGCAGAGGGTGCTGCCTCCCAGAGAATCTCAAGGGACAGAATGGGATTGGGGGATAATTGGGAAATAGTTCAGGAAAATCAAGGGGATGGGCAGAGACCTGCTGGTAAAAGCCCCTCTATGGTAGTGTGGCCCAGTAATAAAAGACCAGCTTGCTCTCAGAAAATGGGAGATAAGGCTTAGGTACAGAGATCTTTTACTGTTTCAAGGGACAGCTGTACTGAGAAAGTTCTCTGGACCCACAGAGAATCATGGCCAAGTTGAGTTTTGCAATAACCCTCAGAAACTCGTGTCACTGAGCAGTGCCAGCTGTGTCCAGTGCTGGCACAGCTCTCACTCTGTTCTGGTTCAGGCCAGTCTCTCCAGGAAATGACCGGGTGAAAATTCCACTTTTGCACAATATATTTCTCAGACTTTTCAGTTTTAGGAAGTGAACGTCACTGCTGTGAATGGCTGTAACTTCCTGCAGTTTGGAAAGTATTACTGCTACAAACCAGTAGCCCATGCTTGTAATCCTAGCTAATCAGGAGATGATACAGAAATCTGTCCAAAACAGCCAGGGTAGAAAAGTCTTTTGAGATTCCATCTCAAATTAAGCAGGAAAAAACCCCAAAACCTACAACAAACAGGACCAGAAGTGTGGCTCAAGTGGTAGAACATCAGCCAAGGAAGTGAAAGGTTTTGAGTTCAAAACCCTGTTCTGACCAAAATACAGTAGAATATACACTCCCCCCACCCTCCCTGAACTAAAGGGAAGAACATATCACACTCAATACCTTCATTCAAAAGAAGTATTTGAATGAGGAGCTGCCATCACTGCCACCACCAGCATGCTGAGCAGGAGCCAATCATGGCCACCAGCCTCCTGCCTTCTCACTGGCTCAGTCCTCAGACTTGCTCCAACCACCTGTTAAAATATGGTGAATCATGACGACATTGTAGGCAAGCAGAGACATGCCTCACCCTAGAATAGCAAAAAGGCATGTTGGAAACTAGTAAAATGACATCCAGATTAAAAAACAAACAAACCTCTAAACCCTGGAGAATAAAGGAGAGAGAAAATTCTAAACAACTAGCTAAAGTATCTCATGCTAAAACATGAAACAGACTAATATGGCAGAGAAGCATTAGATCTGTGGAGGCCTGAGATGAATCTTTTGTCCTCATCATCCCCTTCCCCATGCACCATTCCAGCCAGCAAGGAGGGCAAGGACACTCCAGTCCAGTGTGCCTGCTCAGACCATTGCTCTGTGGGCCTTCCTGCTCCAGGTATTGCAGGGTCCCTGTGCTGGGCCTGGCTACTGCCTCCTGCTTCTGCATAGGTTTGTAGCTCCCCTGAGAGCTGGCACAGACCCTCCATATGCCCCCATCTTGCTCTGGCTGGTATGGAATGATTTACCACCATCATTTTCCCTGACCAATGTCCCTGACCTCTTCAGGTCCAACTGATGTACCTGCTTGGCAGGTACATGTGCAGTTGTCCACAGCCTCTCCTTGGGCTCATTTTTCCCTCCTTGGTACTGTCCGAAACTCACTTATCTCCACTGCTTTAAATGCTGTCCAGGGCTGCAGAGATCATCAGCATGAAACTTCCCCAGGAGCATGGCAGCCTGAGATGTACTCACTCTGTACACCTGTCCTCACTCAACTCAAAAAGGAATGTTGTGTTCCACTTGAAAAATCAGTCATACTTCAATTTCCAATGAAGACAAAACAATAAAATTTTATTGAAAATATTCTTAGTCTGCACATGCACAAACAACCTTAGCCACAAAGCAATGGGATGTGTGGGAAGACTTCCTCCTGAGACTGCTATTGAGAGTGGGACTGGTTGTGGGTAGGGCAGCTCTGCACTTACCAGAATGCCCCTGCTTCTGTCCCAGGAGAGGGGCAGGAACAATCAGGGATGCAAACATTAGGCCCTTGTTTCTGTACAGCAGCCAACACATGACAGGAC